TATTCCAGAAAACGATGCTTCCTTATCAAGGAAGTTTCATATAGAGAAAGTCTGAACGTTTTTTTTTTTGGTTGAAGAAACTGGCAAGACACTGTTCGGGTATGGGTGTGGGTGTTGATAGCAGAAAACACACCCACACACCAACACACCACCCACACCCACACCCACACCCACCCACACTCACCCCACACCCACCCCCCCCCCCCACCACCCACCCCCCCACACCCACCCACACCCACCCACACCCACACCCCACACCCACCCACACCCACACCCACACCCACCCACACCCCCATTTGGATGATGTAATTAGCAGTGTGTTGCACAAAAGCTAATTTTCCAATTTCATTTCTACTCAGAGAAAAAAATAAGGACAAAGGTTGTGCATGAGAAATGCTGGTCTATCCGATAGAATGGGGATATCCAGATGATACTATCAGTTAGCAGCCAGTGAATATTGAAATTCGAATGCTGTGTGGATTGAAATTTGATGACCAGATGAAAACTATATTCATAATAGAATGTCAACGATTGCAGTTCTTTTACACTCAATCAATATTTTATTTCATTGCGATATGATGAAATAATGTTGATACTGCTATTTTGATTATCAAAATTAACGATCAATGTTATTCTGTCACCCATTTTTACAGTGATCGATTGCAATCTTGTCATAGCCGTTGAATCATGATTATAGAATGATATCTTCTTCAGTAATACCTCTAATAAGCTACTAATATATCTAGCTCTTTTGAGCATATCACTTAAAGTATCGAAATCGAAATTTGAGTTATTTTTAATTGTAAAGATATAGAATATTAGATCAATGGAAAATTGTCAGAGAATCAATATCGTACTAAACAATGAGCTTCTTTCATTTAGTATTTTCTATTGATCAAAGCGTTGGAAACAATTCATAAAACTTATTGCTACTAGATCAATTCGAGAATCATTCATTTTTCGATATTTTGACAAAAATTGATTTTGTCCAACGGTTGAGTCTTGCTAACTGCTTTATATTGACTGTTGCGTCAAAATTCATTGACTCCTTCATGATTTATATTTTGCGCACTCTCAATGATTCACTAAACAATACTTCGATTTGAACTACTTGGTAGCAAATGTATTTCAAGATAGAATTTATCTGCATTGAAAAACATATCTCGATCGCAAGTCAAAGGATGAACTACAAAATTTCCATGCAAAATATATTTGTCATTCGATATAAGAGCACATCTTCTCCACCGTGTCGAATATTTCATTTAGAATCAGTACGTATTCTAATGATTTCATGAATACAAGCTTGAATATGCTCCATCGAATTCAATTATTTCATTGTGAGTTCATCTATTGATGACAGGCCATCGATTTCCTCTTTAATCCATCTTCCGATATCATCGTCTTCATGCCGAATACACTTAAGGATAAGAAATGTCATTATAACATATGTATTGACTTGAGTTGGAAATACAATCTTATAAACGAGAAATACTACGAATTGTGGTTATTAGAAACTAACTGTATGATTTTACATAACGGATTAAGTAGTAGGAAAGAGAGTGTTTTTTTCCCAAGAGTTATTAGTATGTTTGGGATGATTTTCATTCTATTTGGTGTGTAAATGAATCGAATGTTAATTATTAGAAGTATCATGGGCAACATATAATGCGATCGATTTACGAAGTTATTTTACAATTGTTAATTTATTACGAAATGTAAGTAAATCAAGCTGTTATCGACAGAGGTGAACATTCTTTGGATACTAAACTTACGAAATGTTCTTTAGTAATCACAGTATTAAATAGTGACTCGGAATCTACTAGAAATCTTTGTAATTATTTGATTTTATACGTGTGCATTAGTATACATCGAAAGAGATCTCATGGTCATGTAATCATCCTATCCAACCAATTTAATACATACATGAGATGATTACAAATAAAAAACACAGTTCATTAAGTATCCTTTATTTCTCATCCAACATTGTTCACTGTGAAATAGTAAACAAATCGGATATCACTCAACAACTGTGATACTGTAATTGTCACTATTGTACTCTATTGTTGTTTTCTCTAAATTTCTAATATATGAGAGTAAAAAAAGAATGAGATCTGCTTACTGATTGAAAAGCTAACGCTGTCATTTTATCACAAACAATGAAAACATCGATACACTCATTATCTATTCAACATGGCAATATGAGGGATGAAAATTGAATATAAGTTACATCATGTATCTCACTTTGTATAAAAGCAACTGCGCAATGATGAATCCTACTCCGTAAACCTTGTATTAAACGTTCGATGTTTTTTTTCTTTTCTTGCGATGATATCTAGGTTAAATTATTTTCGAAAAAAATCAACCCATCCACCCACTGAACTGTCATCATGATACAGTGGTAGCAAAAAACTATCCGTACGATTTTATTTTTATAATAATTCAACGTCATATCGGTATTTCGAGACACGAAAAATAGAAGAACTCCCGTGATCTCTTGCATCTACGCTATAAATATCAAAGCGTTTGACTTATACACATTGTAGATATCGTCGCATTACTAGAAAATGAAATAATTCATTTACAAAAATTATTTATACGATTGATCATGTTGATGCCCTACGTTTTTGACACGTCTGTAAAACTCAATAACAACGTCGCTAAAAAGAATTAACGAGCGATGTTTTGATACTTGATAAGTAATGCGAGTAAAAAAGTGAACATTTTGATCGTACGAATAATTTAGCCCAAATTGTATGTGCACGTCAGAAATCACTTTCGAAATTACGTATATATCAGTTCGAATGAATTTTTATCATAGAATAACAATATTGAAGTATGATAAGCATCTTTGTGTAAAAAGTTGGTCGTCTCTAAATCCAAACTACCAACTGACAATATACCGCTGATTTTTCTCGTATTTGAATCATTATAGTTATTTTATTTTGTTAATTATGTCCCTCTCAGCTCTTATATGATGTGAAACTCTTGTAAAAGTGGATAATTACAAACGTTACTGTCAATCTACTTCGAAACATCAAAAGTATTTTGCAGGAAAAATCTCAAACATCTATGATTGATCGTAGTTCGATTAATAAAAACAGAAAGTGAATTATATTGAACAAAAAATTTCAAGTCCGTATACTCATTGAAAAAGCAAAAACGAAAATTTGTCTGAAAAACAGGTCGCTTTAAATCCAATTCCAAGTTATACTTGCAATACCAATGCCGAGATTACCAACAGCTGCTTGAAAAGCGGCTCTAGATAGATCCAGATCACCATAACGACATCCGGGACATTTATCAACAACTTTGACTGTAATAGATCCCTTTGGACCAACTACTTTAGCTAATTTATTACATAAAGTATTTCTATTTGGATTACCATTTGGTGTGTGCGGATCGAATTGGGCTCCATTCAATGCAGCAATATACTCATTATCACCATGTCTTGTTCCACAAGCTGTATTGCCACTACTAACAATATAGTATGTTGCTTTTCCTTGAAATGTAGTAACTAGAAGAAAAATCAAAATTTACAAGTACACTGGAAAAAAACGAGGAGCATCAGGTAATGTATGTAGAATCGTGTTTTCCAACAAGTGTATAAATCAATTTTTGGCATTGCCTATCAGTCGTAGATTACTCGCAAAATAGTATCTTCAATATATAAGTAACAGTAAAGAAAAGTGAGTGGGTTAGGTTAGGCAGGTCTGAATAGATAATCTAATACATCAATACTTATGACCTGGTTGTGATTGCTTTTTAGTGTATTAATGTACTAGATCATACATCGAAAGCACCGTTACTCTTTGATAATTTTTTCACTTAGAATGCCCTATACCTTAAACTAACGTAAGTAGAATATAATTAATTACTTCGACTTTTCTTTAAGATAGTGAATTTTCTTCAAATCTTTTTGATCTGTTGATGATAGTATGATATTTTATAAATACTTCTAGAAACTTTGTGAAAAATAGTTTGATAAGAATGGCCAGCTTGATGACCGAAGCCGCGTGTGAGAAAACATAGTGAATAGAACTAAAATTACCTCCATCTCCATTGCCACTACTTCCCGTGCATGGTCCAGATAAGCAGCCTTCACCACAGTATTCTGATCCTTTTCCACAAAAGCCCCATTTTGATCGGCATTCTGTTGAGTCAGGACATGCTATATTGCCAGCTGTGCATGGTCCACCTTGGCAACCATCACCACAGTATTCTGGTCCCTTTCCACAAAACCCCCACTTTGATCGACATTCCAGCGAACTAGGACATGCAAGACGAAAGAATCTACCACTGAGACTATGTTGTAATTGATTGCTGGTGATATCTTCATGAGCTTGTGCATTAAACAAAATTCCAAAGAATAGCAGCATATAGGAAAGCTTCGAGTAAAACATAGTTGTAACCTCGCTTGCTAAAATATTATCGCTGTTATATGAAACGAGAGACAATAGGTGGTTAATGTTTAAAATATGATTGGAATCAAATGATTGCGCAGCTAATTAAGAAATAAAAGTCCTTCATCACAGTTAACAGTACAAATCGAAAAAATGAGACGAGGATGTACTTAGGTGTACATTTCGGGACAGTTCTCATCTTATAGAATCGATATTCATATCCATAAGCTCATTTCAATTTCTAAAGTGATTTCAGAATAGTGGGCAATAGAGAAATAAGCAGTGTTGCTATCAGATGTTAAATGAGCTTACGACAAAATAAATTCTTGAGTAATCGAAGTCCATGACGTGGTTCTGAACGAGATTGAAATGAATGCTATGAATGCGAGTCAGATGCTTCAATGGAATAAGTTGTTATATATTGTCACGGATGTTCACAAGCATTCTTTTATTGTTAGTTAAAGAGCTGAGTATATGGCTGATAATAACTCTTGCCTAATCTATGACAAAAAGGTGTCTGAGTATCGCAACGAATTCAAAGCCCTCCTAAAAACTTACAGATAGCTTTCAAACTTAAAGTTCGTTTTAATATTGATTTGCTATAAAATGTCGTAGCTGCTATCTAATTCGAGGTTCGTATGTCTAAAGTGTTGCGGTCAGATTTGGTGTTCTCAAACGTTTTTCTGAATTAAACAGTGAGAGACGCATTCCAACGATTGTTACCAACATTGTTGTAAAATACGGCGCAAAGCAGGATGAACTGATGAACTATTGACAATTGATTGATAGAATTACCTTATTCACTTTCATCAAATTTAAATCGACTAAGTGAATCCTAAGTAGTCACATATTCGATTCGATTATTTTTAGCGCCGATATTATTGATGGCACCACTGAAATTCATTGATATTTTTGCTCGAGTGATAAATAGTTTCGAAGTGAAACAACAAGCGTAGATATCTTGAGATTGGCCATATGTCATCAATCTCACAAAAACAATTTATTTTGCACGAAACACAATAATCACAGAAAATTTA